CACCGCTAATGCCCTCGCGCATTAACGCCCGCCAGCCGATAAAGTGTGCCCCCAGGGTGTAAAAGAGAAGCGGCGCTTTCGCCACTCGCTCCCCCATTTCCCCTCTACCGGGACGTCGTACTCCCACCACGGCGACTGCCATCGACAGGATCGGCCCCGGTTGGCCGATGCCCCGGCATCCCCAATCTCGCGTCCCCGTGGCTATTGGCTGGCACCCCGGAGGTTGTCCCCTTCCCGCTTTACAGCGTGTACCGGGGGCGGTACAACCCTCGGCTCGTTGCCTCAGCTTAGCGACTGGAGGAGAAGGAGCGAAGGTCACGGGAGTAGCGATCAGGAGTAGTCCAGTGCGAATCTACGGGCTTTCGATTTGTACGGCAGCTTGGCCGAATTATGTTTGTATTTGAATTGAGACCGAGAGTTGCTCAAATGTTTTGATACGAAGCTTGGCAGCTGTAGACGAGAAAACACCCCCGTCTTCTCACCAAATATTAGTATAATTTTCCGGTTACTGGAGTAGTATGGAAAACGCTCGACTGCCTGTTAAAGCTTATTGTTTAAAATAGAACAAATTGTTAATCTTTTGCTTATTAGCTATTTTACCATGGACGACCGTTGTTAAGTGAGAATTTTATAATTACAGGGAGTGACTAGAGCTTATACGTATAAATTATTATGAACAATACGAGCGATTAATTACTTTGCCATTTTGGAGTTTATCAACGCTACTTTCCCTTTAATCCCAATGATAATAACGGCAACAATAATACATTGCCTCTTAGCTCTTTTCGCTTTATGTTTAATTTTCTCGATATATAAAACAATCTGCAAAAAATTATCCTCAATAATATTAATTTTTTTCATTTTTACATGAATTTTTTCATTTCTTGAATGGATAAACCAAGTAGGTTATGCTCGTTTTTGTTTTTATAAACGAATCGCTTCACCTTTTTAAACGACAAAAATTTATTCGTGATAAACATAAATATATTATCCGAGAAAAAGCATATGTTATTGTTATTGGTGACTATAAATAGCTATTCATGAATTTATATTAAACATAATATATGTAAAGCACTATAAGCGTTTTGAAGAAAAATTACGCTGAAACTACGTTTATGTTTCTAATAATTTCAGAAATAACTTTCCCATAGACTACAAATTTTATCAATTATTTATATAATATACACTAAACAGGGATCATTATTTTGAATTAATTACAATATTCATATTTATTAAATAAATTTATTTGTAAACTTGGAACAAAATTTAATGTTGAAACGAAATTCTGTTCTTCATCGAATCAAATTATCAAATAAGATCTGTAAGATTTTTCTTACAAATATAATCCTTTTCATTTTAAAGAGAAAAGTTTTTTTACAACTCTCATAGCATTTCTATACTCGTATATTCTAGAAGACCTATTTATCTACCAAAAGTATAACATTTATGGCATCCTAAATGTCTAGCATCTTATCAATGTAGGTATGTCATTTTGCTAATGGATTAACTCAAAAAAAAAAAAAAATCACAACAGAACAACGATATTGATATGAACCTTTTTTTTCAAAATCGTAAAGCAAAAGTAAACATTGTACATATAATTCCTTCTTTAAAATCCGTTGGTTGTTGCCCCTACGCTCTCATGCCCTTTACCAACAATGATGATCGTCACTAATACCATGTACATTCGTGTATCTCCGTTCGCATAAAAATAAGAAAATCAATGGCATGTAATATCTTAAAGAGCATATGTACAATCACAATATTTTTTTTACTAAAATTAAATCGGTGGTACAAAGAAAAAGGTGTCTGCTTTTGAACTCGTGTGCAATTACGCATACATGCCCATAATTTTTTACAATACATTACATCTTTGTAATATTTCTCATACTTATGTATATACGATATTTTTTTAATTTAATTTACATATGTCTATTACGTTAAAAAAATTGTTTTAACTTACTATATCGATAATTGTAAATTTCTCTTTAAATTTATAATACACTTATTGGATAATGTACGACTTATATCTAATTTTATCGTATATAAGTAACAACTGTCTTTACTTGATTAATGTACATATGATTTATATTAAGTATTTAAAAAAGTAAAAACAAGTCTTCTCGTCGTATATTTGAAGAATTTTAACTAGCAAATATTCATAAATTTTAGTGACACACACACACACACACACACACACACACACACATATATATATATATATATATATATATATATAACATAAGCTTGTTAGAAAAAATGCAAAAAGTACAATATAATTATGAGTAAACCTTAATTTCAGAATAGCTAAAATAATTTATATATATCCGACAATATATTATTCAACGATATCAAATGAAAATACGTTGCTTTTAATCGCTTGCTTACTCGAATAGATTCTTTTATGTGAAAAGCATTCGTATTATAGTAATATTTCATTTAAGAATCAAACTTGAGAAAATGAATCATTAAATAAGTTCAGAATTCGATTAAAATCTATACTTAATGTATATGACTTTGATGATTAATTTGTCTTTTTAAACATAAAATTCTAAAATATAACTCGTTTTGATTTCATTTACTCTCAACAAGTATTAAAGTTACAATAGTAAAAATAGTCGAATAGTTTTTAACAAATTGCCCACTCGAGGCAAAGGATCGACTGCGTGGAAGTAAATGCGGAGGAGCCGCGAGTATCGGAGAGCCCAAGTTAGTAGTGAAGGAGTGCGTGAAGGCAGCCGTGATTTCAGCTGAGTCGAGACAAAAGAGATCAAAAGAGGCGGTTCATCTGCTCTCATCATACATCAACGATGCGCATGCGTGTTAAAGAAAAAGGGCGAGTCCGGATTTGTGGTTGGGTATGGGTGGGGATTCTTCCGAGTAGATGCGGAGAAAGAGCGTTAAAACGCAAGGAAATTCAGAGGGTGAGAATACATAGGTGAGCCATTGGATTATGCGATAGTGAAAGGTGATTGTTTTGCTTCGTTTATGTTACTCGATTGTTGCTATGCACACTAATGTTTACAATGATGTGCATTAAACCACAGATGAGTAAAGATGCTCGAATGCATGCATTGTTTAAAGTAACATTCGATTGGGGAAGAAAATTCTCAACAGCGCACCGTGATTTTGGTCGGTACAGTAAATTCTAAGCTTTATTTTCATAAACGTCAAAAAAAAAAAAAAAAAAAAAAAAAAAAAAAATACATGCCTAGTATATCAGTAAATTTAAAGGAATATGAACAATAGAGCAATTTGCTGTTACATTTACTTAGTTTAATTTAATTTTCTTACGATATTTTATATCATATTCAGAATTATACCAACTCGACTGACACTTATATAAGCTTCATGATTGAAAATTGGAAAGAAAGATAGTAATGGCAATTAGATGGATGTATATTATTTAAATAGATAAAAAAACTTTAGTTAAAAAAAAGGATTTTTCTTAAAGCTTTGACTAGTTGGGTAATATAATGCGTTAGGTATCTCAGAAACATATATGAACATAGCAACATAATTATTTATCATTCAAGTGTATTCATATTTAAATTCATAATTATGCTATAAATGGACGATACATATTTACGAAAATTCTATCATAATTATTGCCTTTCTTCAAAATATTTTCTTCAAAATTCATATCCAATAATGAATTATTAAACTTTTTTTTATGTGTATACTAAAAAAGTACTTTAAAAGTCTTATATGAATATAAGATCCTTAGAATAAAAAATATGTCTCCTTTAGGTGAAAAAATATATAACGTTGAAAAACGTTATATTATTATGTAAAAAATTTCAAATTCAATTCAGTTCACAAGAATATTGTAAAATAATTAAGAATTTCTTGCAAATCATTATGAAGTGTCAAGTTGATTTTTAATTACCTATTATTGAAATATGAAATTTGAATGAATTTAAAAGAATCCCATATCATTGAACGATAATATTTAAATAAAAATTACTTTTTACGACTATTTCTTCACTTTTTCTGCATACATTAGCCGTAATTTAACATCGACAATTAAAAAATAATCGATATACTGTAGGTAATTATTCTTATAAATATGAAATATCTATACGCGCAGAATTTCAATTTCGTCATACGCTTTTTTCTATACTCGTAATATGTTGTTCCATGAATTGAATCAACTCATTGTTCAATAAAGAATACCAATTTTTTATTCCTAGACAATATGGATTCGAGCATAATAACGGATATTCGCTCACACTTGGTCATTTCTCGATATGTCCTTTCTTTTTATCATAGATCCTTAACGTTCGACGATAATACAAAAAGTAATAAATATTGAACTGGCAGTTCGATATGAGGACGTGCCATGCGCAACTCCAAATGACAACAATTACAAATAGTGACTTATTGAAAAAAAGGAAAAAAGATGAACGTAGACACGTGTATGCGAGTCAGCCCCGCTCCTGGGTATCGCGGGGTCGTAAGACGCAAGGGGAAGCGTAGCAGGGGCTACGAAACGGAAGCCGGCTTACTAGTCCGTGGAGCGAGGGAAATCCCGCCCCCCAGCGAGGAATACACCCGCCCCCAAGCGTCAAGGGCTGCTCTCGGAAAGCGAGAAGAGCCCCCAAGAGAGAGAGAGAGAGAGAGAGAGAGCGAGAGAGAGCGAGAGAGAGAGAGAGAGAGAGAGTGTGTTTGTGTGCGTGCGTGCGTGCGTGCGTGTGTGTGACAGAGTGAGAGAGTGTGAGAATTGGTGGGGGTTGGGGAGGGGGAGAAAAAGATAGCGGGAAAAGCGGACGTTGGGTGAGGCCACTAGCAGTCGAGTGCTCGTCGAGGGCACACTCAAAAAGTACAGCGCGAGCGCGTTAAGCCGAAACGTCGAGGCTCCCAATCCCCCGGCGTGGGCCTCCTCAACTAACCAGCTAGTGCGCGTCCTCGTCCTCGCGAGACCCGTTGCTTTACCGGCAACCGAGGGACAAGTGCGCGTCTGTGATCGAGGGTGAGCTAGTGGCCGGCATGAACCGACGTCTATTCTGAGGAAGACCGGCGAAGGTTACGTCTCCCCGTCACCTTAATAAGGCAATGGCGGACAAGAACAAGATATTACCCTGGTCCTTCTTACCCTACCCAGCCAGCTTTCTCAACCACGTCTGGTACAGTCAGCTCGCCCTGAACACTAGGTAATTATGGAGCAGCGCCGCGATTAGTAAGTCAAGCTCATTTGCAATCGATGCTCCTGATGAGAAGGGCCCCGCTCTTGCAACAATCAGCTGATGAATTTGACGATGGAATATATTTTGCTTAAAGTGTCGCGTTCCTCGTTCCAGGATCCAATCACTCGCTTTAATTGTGTGTTGCGCGAGGCATTATAGACGTCCCTAAGCGAGATACGCGAATAGACGAACAATGATGAGAGTGACGTTTATGGTTGCTGGCTATGTAGCTTTTGTTATAACTTCTGGTAGGCGCTCGGAGCTTAGCTTGGAGATTTCACGATAATATGCGATAATAGCGCTATCTCAACCAACAATCCTTATTGATTTATTGTCTTGAATTTTACAACGACATGTAAAAATCATGTACAATGTAAAACATTAGCCACATCGATATAAATGCTAAGAAATAAAATACCATTACTTCTTTAATATATTATATATTTATTATTTATTATAATATATTATTATATTTATTATAATATATTTAATATAATATATTCGGATTAAAAGCTTAGATAATACACAAGGGCATTTTATTGTAATATTTGATATTTATTGGCTAACGATAAATATATGATTCTCTTCATTACTTTTTTTTTTCGTTTAATTAGCCTCGACGAAAATATTGAATTATCCATGGATTTTTTCATTTTTTCACATAATACTATGGCTTTTTAAATGGAAAGACAAACTCTATTAAAAATATATTATTTTTTGTTGAACTATACGGCACTCTATATATATATATATATATATATATATATATATAAAGGCAAAAATTTCATTTTAAAAATCATATTCGTTTAAGCTTTAAATTCAGCATTGGTTGACAAATATTCATAGATGCTATAGTATTACGTATTAATCGTTAATGTTAAACTATGAAATAGAATTGAATCAAAACAATTAAAGAAGAGCAAAAATTTAAGTTGAAAATTTTGCATACAATGCATGTTGTAATTTTACTTGAGTGCCAATACATGTAAAAAAAATATTTTTCTGCATTACTCTTTATAGGAGTATTGAACTACCATTACATCATCGATATATTAATTTTATAACATATAACAATACGGACTTTTGAAAGAAAAAAAAAATAATAAATAAAAAATTAATAATAATTCAATCAATACACGTGGCTTGATGAATATCGATATGCGCGATTGATAAAAACAATAAATATCAGATTTGTTATCGTGATATGAGATATCAAGCGCTAACAACTCCTGCATCCGAGCTGTCTAATATAATACAACAATGTGTATATTAACACATGATCATTGGCTTCTTTCTATTAATTCCATTACACTTTTAGACTTGAAATATTTGTTCATACGTGAGCAAATATCGTTCAAAATAAAAAGAGAAAAAAGAAAAGCAATATTATAGATAAATAATTGGATTTGATCATTGAACAAGAAACTCGTATGATAATCACACACAAACACACATACATACGCGCGCGCACGTGCACGCAAACACGCACGCACGCGCGCGCGCATATATATATATATATATATATATATATATATATTGTCTAGTATTCCAAAAATGTAATATTATTTATCGACTGTTGTTATTAGAATTATTTTTCACGATTAAATTATTACTTTACTCATACACTCATTTGATATTTTAAAGGCTTTATCTAAATTTTATGTACTGATTAAATTTAACAAGCAACTTTATCTTACGACATTACGATAATATAATTTTATATGACAGAATTATAATTCATAGAAAATTCTCAATATTTTTGTAACTTAGACAATCTTTCTTTTTATACGTCTAACGCGTTTATGTGTACATACAATTGGCAACTAAAGCAACATTTAAAAAAAATAGAAGAGTATTTATTGCGTATTATTTAAGTATTTGCACTCGGCTTTAGCTAACAGTATTTCTATCATGAATTTAAAGAATTAACTATTTATATTATAAAATACTTTTGTTTTTGTTTTTTTGTTTTTGTTTTTTGTTTTTTGTTTTTTGTTTTTTGTTTTTTAAGCAGTCAATTTGAGTTTTAGGCATTATTAAGGGTTTGATTTGAATTTTGTAAATGCGATAACAAGAAAGAGAATAAATGGTCAATGGCAGTTGAATTTTGGGTAAGGGACGTGAAAAGGCTGATTGCGCTAATTAAAGATATTGGAAAGTTAGACCGACGGAAATCCGTGGGGGTGCAAGCCCACTTAACCTTACTTAGAGCCACTTAACAAGCCAAACTAAAGGTATACGCGTCTTTTTGCCGGCTGCGCGAACATTCAAGTTCACACGCGCGCACTTAAGTCCAGGAGATTTTCTTGCGCGCCTACCCGCAAATTCCCTTTAAATCTTTCGCTCTAATACAGTTTTCAGCTTTCTTGCATTATAGATTTCTCCTCCTTTTTGCTTTTCTTGTCTTTTGATGCCTTTCAATCATGTTTATCTCATAGTTTACACGGGTGGATAAATCCGTACAAGTGCGAAGGAATTATGTTCACACGATGAAGAGAAACTTTTCGTGTCGGTGGAGTCTTTAAAAGCTTGACAAGCACGTACAATAAAATGAATTTTTCATGACAAATATCTCTCTTTGTTTATTCTCATGAAATGTTATATTTATAAATGCATTCGATCCCTTTAGTATATATTTATATTTATGATATATTTATTTTAGATTTAATCCATTCTTTTTCCTATCATTTAATTAAATCTGTGTCTTCGTCATACGACGTAAGATTTGAAATAATTATCCGGCTAATATTCAAAGGATATAGCTCCATTCGAATTCTAAAAATATTAAGAATGATATCTTAAAAACAAAAATCTATTTAAATAAAGATAACGAATATCTAATCGAATTAACACCATCAGTTCGTTACGAAATGTATTCGTTGTAAGAATAAATCACCTTACAATTACAATTAATCCCATGCCCAATGACTAATGAACCGCCTCTATGGAGATGGGCATTAAGAGATTAGACATTCTGTAACAATCCAACGGCGCAACTTAATTTTCCTTTTCCGTAAATTCGACTGCCTGCGATTAGTCTCCATTTTCAAAAGAATCCGCAGAATTTCTACGAAATAATCTCGTTAAAATTCGAAGTCTCGCCTCTGTATAACTAAATTAAACAGAAACCAAACAAAAAAAAAAAAAAAAAAAAAAAACAAAAAAAAAATGGAAAAAACGGATCCTCCATTTTCACACCTTCGTGAAAATGTCACGGCATTCGAGCATTACGGACGTCTCGGAAACGCGGGGACGTCAGAGAAAGAGAAAAGGAGAGTGCAAAACGTGCTACGATAATGGCTCGTTTAGCTTATAGACCGACCAGTAGCCTCGAGAATCGTGCGGCGGTCTTTGTCGTGCACACCAACGGCAACAGCAGCATAAGCGGCGGCGGCGACGGCGGCGGCGGCGGCGACGGCTGCGGCGGCGCACGTCGCTAACCTGAGTCAGGCCCCGATGTTTTGGGACCGCCGACGGTGAGAGCCGACCGTCCGGGCAGGTGCACCGCGTGGGGTCCTCGCTCTGTCTTTTTGTCGGGGGACACGTTTAATCGCAGTTCTTAAAGGGCCCTGGCTTCTTGACTAGAAAAGACCCCCACCCCCTCACTCCCTCCTCCTCCTCCTTCGCCTCCTCCACCGTCTTTTCCTCCGCCGCCACCACCATCACCTTCGTCACCTCTTCCTCACTCGCTCACTCACTCACTCACTTACTCTGACTCATTCGCTGACTTTCTCTCTCTCTCTCTCTCTCTCTCTCTTTCTCTCTCTCCCTCACACACGCACGCACGCACTCACAGACGTACACTATCTCACACGCCCAACTCTCCTTGCATTTTCCTTGTTCCTTTTTCCGCATTTGGGGACGTCCGCTAAAGCCGGGTCTATAAAGATAGTTTCCGGTTACCGACAGACACTGACCAACAAAATTAAAGCGAAGCTGCTTCCTAGTAGAATTTCCATTTTTTCACTTTTCAGAAGCCCATAGTACTCCGAGCGCCTTATTAACGAGCATTCAACAAAAATTCCTTCTTCTATTTAACACTAGATCTTTCTTAATTATAAATGCATCATTAATCATGGTGAAATCTGTATTTCACGATGATACTAATAATTTATCGATTTTACGATTAACAGTTAATACAAAAAAATTGAATACTTATTCTCGTATTTGGAATATCGTCGTTTAATGAAGATAAATGATTTAATATAATCTAATCACCTTTTATTGTTATTTTTCTTTTTAATCTTTTTTTCTCAATATGAGGCCTCATTTAAGTTAGCGTAAAGCTTCAAATCGATTAACAATCGTTATATAATTTAGATAATATGCCCTCATTCGCTGATCACATGGGTTATTTGTATAAAATTCAATTAAAAATACTAAGCGTTTAGCATAAGTATAATTTTATCAGTATGAAACAAAATATATTTTGATTGCTTGTTAAACTTATGGTTATAAGTTCGATTTAATCATTCTTATTGTTATTAATTTCCAATTAATGTTAACAATAGCAGAACGACGATTGCCAATAGTTTTCTTCTGTTGCAATATCAAAAACATTAATTGTCATTCGGATATTTAATAAATCTTATTGTCACTATCGTTTCTGTAAATTTCACATGAATATTCACGAAAGATTCTTAATCCCACAGGTTATTAGAAAGCATGAAGATGCCGGCGAGTAGGACCTCCGGCTTTCACATAAGCGACATATTGGAATTGAACGATCCCAAGCCAACAAGCGAAGACGCAGATATTCCAGGTAAAAAAAAAAAAATTGTCCATCATAATTAAATTATCTGCTTATATCGGAATAAAATGAGCCTACGCCATACTTAAAAGAGAAAAAGTATTAACCGTCGGCTACTACATTTATCAACTGATTAGAACCGAATAATTTTATCATATTTTTTCGCATTTCGTACACGCGAAAGCAAAATCAAATTGACTTAAAAATCAATTTCGCTCGAAATGACAAACTGATAAGCCAACACCTCTCTCCCTCGCATTTGTTAACAGGAGCGACAACGATACTGCCACCGACGAGCGATGTCCCGACTACCTATCAACAACTGCTTGAGCACACGACGGCGATGCTGCACCCGGGCGGTCCGGGTGGCCCGCCGGGTTTCAACTTGAATCGAGTCGGGACCCTGCCGACGGCGGCAACTGGTCCGTTGGCGCCCCCAACTGCCGCCGGACTCCTCAGCTGGCACCAGGCCGCAGCAGTCACGAACATACCGCCCAGCTTGCCCCAGGCCCTCGACGAGGTCAACGGTAAGGATCGATCTCTCCTCTTTCTCTCATTTCTGCCGTGACTTAGAGCTCTTGGAGCCGTCACCCCGGGCAACGGACCTTACTACTTACATTACATTACATTGAAAAAGGAGAAACTTGTCCCTTGCCGCTCCAAGCGAATGAGCAGCCATTGCTCGGAAAGCTGAGTAAACGTAAACGATTAAAATGCTCGTAATTTCTATTAAAATACCTCGCTAAAATTATAGCTTAATATTTATTAAAATAAAAATAAAAAAAAAAACAAAAAAAAAACCTACTTACGATTGGTTTTACCCAAACTTGGGACAGTAGTCGGTAAGTTTGTTTCGATTCGACCTCACTCAGCTCACTTATATCGAAAATTTATTCAAAAGTAAAATGATTGTCAAGTTATTCAAGTTATTCACCGCTTCTTTTATGACTTAAAAATAATTTACAATTATAAGATATCTGCATCATCGATTCTATTAGCTAAGCATCGGTTGGATAGAATCAGTTGGAACGAGTCGGTAGAGGAGGTAGGAATGATTCGAGTGAAACGTTTCAATTGATAAACATTATTATACAATTTTGTACGTGTGCGCGCGCACTCCCGTGCTTATCTGTTGAGTACGAGTATAAAATGGGAAAAGGTTGGCTTATTTATGGTGGACTAATTAATGCTGCGTAGCTACGTTGCTGAAGTGCAGAAAACAAAAGAAGAAGAAGAAGAAGAAGAAGAAGAAGAAGAAGAAGAAGAAGAAAAAACAAAGAAACAGCTTGTAAAATAAAATTCGATGGAACTTAAATGTAAATAGACGTCGGGAGCGAGTCTTCGACAATTAGCGAGCGAAGGAATGGCAAAGCACGAGCCATGACGATGATGCCTTTACCAAAGCCCCGACTACATCGCAAAAACATGATACAAATCCAGCACTCTAACATCATTCACTTGGACAAAACCGTTCAAGTATATACACTCGTGCATATCCGTTAGGAGAATGAGCGCCGATCGAGGACTCCGGCACTCGCGCTCGGTCCCTCCCTCGGGCTATGCGAGCGCGGCGCACATAAATCACGAGCAATAAAATAATGATTGCCGACGCCGATATACACAGCATCATCCTTTGAAGAATCGGGTCTCCGAGGCCGACCTTTGGTCGCGCTAAACGCTCTCCGGCCTCTCCATTCTCTCCTAGCCCTTATTTATTTAGCACCCTCGGATTGGCCCGCTCACCCCCTGCCCCTTAAGCAGGATCTAATAGGCTCCCGTAGAACGACTGGACTGGTCTCGGCGAACAGATGTCGAGCCCCGGGGACAGATGCACGACGCTTCTCCGCAACCTTGTATTCCTGATTCTGCGGTGAATCGTTTTCGCTCTCAATGCGATTGTCACGCCCATGCGTCGACCATTTTGTATCTCTTCCTAGTCTCTCCTCTTCCCCCCCCCCCCCTGTTTTTTTTTTTTTTTTTTTTTTTTTTTCATTATGCACATATCGCTTGCGCGTCCTGCATTTTCCACTTTACACTCGCTCGTAATTGTCAAGGGATTTGCCCATACTTTTCTAGCTTGTGGGTTCGCTTCGTTACGTCAACTTACAGAAGCATGGATTATCTTATTTAACGTGGAATACACTAACACGACTATCTGGCTATTTTTATCTAATCCTACGTTTCCTCTTCTTTTATTGTTTGTCAAGCTCATTTGATACTGCCTTTCTGAGTTCCTCGTTTATGATATTCCTTCGGCCGTATACTACATTATGCATTATGTTTACGCACGCACATCCATGATTATTCATAATGAACCTGCCTAATTAAACTAAATGCATCTTTTTAAGAATTTTCCCTTATTATGTATGTACATACATGTAACGGATTTACATTTGCATTTGACAAGAGGATTCTGATTCATCCATCGCCTACGTTTTAATAATGCCTGTAGAGCAATTTTCATTAAATTTCCATTAGTGTAATTTTCCTATAGGCTGTTTGGTAGTATTACAAGAAAATTTTCAATATTATTACAATTAGAACTAATTGCAAATGACAGTGAGTCAACTGGGAGCTGTGAAGCGAGCAATATTCCTTGCATTATTTTTATAATAAATAAATTCTTCCGTCTCATCGAATATTCTGACTACCAAATGACTTTGAAATTTTTAATCAATGGATTATGCCTTATTATTATTATTATTGTTGTTGTTGTCGTTGTTGTTGTTGTTGTCGTTGTTGTTGTTGTCGTTGTTGTCGTCGTTGTTGTCGTCGTTGTTATTACCGCTCGAGATTCAATCGCCGAATGTTTAGGTAGCAGTCGTCGATTGCAGTCGACATCAAATTAAATGAAAATGATAATTACCAATCTTTTCCAAATAACGTTATAATAATAATAATAATAATAATAATAATAATTTAATTATTAATTAAACATATTCTCAATACAATCAAGCTCGTGAAATAAAGAGTTAAAAGAGAGTCGTTAAAAGTCTAGCGATTACAAGGCGGTATTTATATCGATATACTAATAAAGCTTACACTCCAGCATTATCAGATACGTATTAATCGCGCCTAAGTGCGCATTCCAAACGTATAGCCACAAGGACGAGAGAATATAGGGGGGTGGGGGGAGGGCGCGAAGGTCTTCTTGACGAGACGGACGGCCGTGGAAATCGAGAAATCGAAAAGTTCATCTCGCGACGGCAAATGAAGCTGTAAACCGCACGTGCACGACTCATTCGCAAGCGCCATAAATGCTGGGCTAATTGAAACGGCGCGACCTCGTCGCGCGTATTCCGCCGCAGTGCGTAATCCCCTGTGAAACGGATACATGTATTTACAGCCTCGACCCTCGCGCACCACGCACGCGCCAAATGGGATTTATATTGGCTTCACACCCTCCGTGTCCTACCCAAGCATCGGGTTTATACAAGCGACGACGCTTAAGCGCACCACGAGCACGCTTCCTACACACGCAAATAAATGTCTTCTCGCCCTCGCTTTAACGCATTCGCATACACGTTTAATAAAGAGTAGCGTTTCACATTGGCAGCTAGGATTTTCTTTTGCATTTTTTACGTACAGTTTACAACAAGCCGCTGTACTTGAAATGGTTTTCATCACAAAGGCTCGATCCTTCGTATCGTTCGTCGCTCGCCTCCTTTCTTAATTACTCTCATTATTTCGCACTTTAGCTCCATTATATTAAATAGTCCACATTGTCCGAGCAATCGTTCGAATTTCTCAAGACGCTCTTTCTCAATTGAATATTTTTTACACTCGAGATAATCACACCGCTATCTATCCACATATAATCTATAAACATTATTAATCCCAATTCCAATTCCTATGGTGAATACATTATTCTTATTCTCCCATTCGACTATCTAACACTGTTTCCTTCGCAATTGCTGTCTTTGTTGGCCTAAACCTTGTTTTTCGTCCCAAATCTTTACTTCTTTAAATCGTGGTTGCTCGTCCGCTCCCCTCCCGTTTCATTCTACAAGCGTAGCGTGTATTTGTTCGAATTCGACTGGGGATTTTTCAGTGGGATGTACATACATACACTAGCCAAAACGCCAAAATGACAATCGAAATGAGGCGCGGTTTGTAAAGTTGATCGATTGACCATAATAAGAACGGCCGAAATAATTCTATTGACGCGACCCTAATTTTTCTTTTACTATTTTGAATTACTGTTGGCGTTAAGTATCCACTGCTTATAAGTATCGAGATGTATTGAGATTGTACTAAGTAACAAAGATTTCTTTTCATTATTAATGACTCGTGCCAAGTGACAGCGCAACTTGCTAATGTAGATTAGAAACAATGAACATTTATCGTTGACATTCTTACAGTTGACATTTTATTATTCACTCGCTTATAAATGTTGCATTAATTCAATTAGAATTTTACCAACGACGCTTGCGCTCTGAGATTCTGTCAGACGGTCATTTAGTCGCACAAAAGTAATAAAACCATTTTGAAAGTCAAGTTGTAACAGCCAGGGCAATAAACAAGCGTATAAATCACAAAAGAACGTCAAAATTTTTCATTCGGTCACGTTGCCGACTCAATCATTACAATGTCAATTGTAAAATACGTCGGTGAATTACCTTTCCGGAAAATCATCGTCGATAGGCATCTGCCCACTCAATTTCCGCGATTGCAGGACTCGAGTGCAGCTGCGGCTATTATCGGCGCTTCTTTCATTTTTTTTTTAACTCCGTCATTGTATACCCGCAGACGTCGGCACATTTATAGATAATATTTTCTAATGCCTCCATTTGAATTAGTAAATCACTTGGCGGGGCAGCTGCAACATTCAAATGTATATTTTTTCATGACTCCAGGGGATAGGTATGACGTTTTAATTGTAGGCGTGATACGGTTACTTGTAATATCGTTGTTATTTACCTTCCAATACTGTTAAATAATGATGCGTGAATTTCATGATTTTTTTTTTTGATTTTTACTGCTGTGCGCGCGAGCAGCTGACATTTTCACATTCGATCGAGTGTCTTGACTTATCCTCAAATGTATAAAATACCACGTTATTATTTTCTTCGATAATTCACTTTACTATACAATTGAAAATTCTTTTTAATAGATAAATATTTCAAAACAAATCATATGAAAAAGCTTTTATTTATTTATTTATTTATTTATTTATTTATTTATTTTTTTTTTTATTTTTTTTTTTTCACTCTGACCTCGAAAAGTCGATATTTCACGAAGGTGAAAAAAGTGAAAAAGAGTGTTTGTATATGGTAACGCAATCACGACTAACCGGTAAAATGTTGTGAGTCGCAAATTTTGGCAATCGCTTTGAATCAATTTCCCTTCGAACGCATTATGATTGCACTTAATTTATTAAATTTTCTATTAAGCAAATAAATAGGCACATATTTAATGAAAAAGTACGAGAAAAAGCATCGTACTTTCGTTTCTTTACTAATCTAAAAACTTTTTCATTAATATTCGTATAAGTTTTTAAAAACGTTATTTTTTACTAATTAAGGGATATGTAAAGTGCATTATTCATCAAGTGGTTCAATACAATGTACATTATACTATTTACTTTAATCATTGATTGATTCTTTGAGTTTATATATTGGCGATAGTATTTCAATAATACATTAATTCTAATACAGTAAGACCTATACATCTACTATCATTAACCGTCCAAAACCATAATTAACCGCATAGCATTTCTATTGTATTCCTTTAATGACGTTCATACTTCATAGCTCTTCATTATTTCAGACTATTCGCTTTAATATGAAAATTTTACATGCAATCGAAAGTAATGGACACGCCTTATTTTCCTACTGGTTCATTACTATGTTTTTCATTACGTATTTTTTGTTTTTTTTTTTTTTTTGTTCTTTTCGTTTTTTCTTTTCTTCTCTTTTCTTGTCTTAAGCAGACCTTGAAAACGTAGATTATTCGGTAATATTGTAAATTGGAGAAACGATTGATTATCATGACACGTATTAAAGTATATCATAATTTTATCCATAGCAATGTAATTTTCTTTATAATTTTGTCACTTTAGTTTGACGCTATATTTGCGTGTGCGCGCGTGCGTGCGTGCGTGCGTGCGTGCGTGTAAAATAAAATTTATTCCATTTTCGAGAGCATAAGTATTAGTATAAAGAAATATCTCGAACGTTATTCCATGAGACATTAGTAATAATAGTAAAGGATCAAAAATCTTCTTATGCTGTTACAGTACTTCAGCAACCAGATTCTACGAGCCCCGCGATATCCGATCTCTCTTATCCATCGCAACGCGACAACAGTATCCAAGGCTCGAAGGAAGAAGACGAGCTTCCTGAAGAAGAGATGGAGGCCGAGTACGATGAGGAGGAAGATGACGACGACGACGAGTCGCTGGAGAATAAGAAGAAAGCGAAAGACGGTATCCTTGATAAGGGTGAGAAACGGGATAGAAGCCGACGGGATCAGGAACACCCGGAAGAAGAGTCCGAGCACAAGAAACGAAAGCGACGGGTATTATTCTCCAAAGCCCAGACCTACGAACTCGAGCGACGTTTTCGACAACAGCGTTACCTAAGTGCACCCGAGCGCGAACACTTAGCATCGATAATCCGACTGACGCCCACCCAGGTGAAGATCTGGTTCCAGAATCATAGATACAAGACGAAGCGCGCGGCAACGGAGCGCGTGGAGGCAGCGGGAACGAGATTGGACTGCTCGCCAAGACGGGTAGCAGTTCCGGTTCTGGTCAGGGACGGGAAGCCCTGCCAGTCCAAGTTGCTGGAGCCCTGTTCGGCGGCCGCAGTTGGTGCAGCAGCCGCAGCAGCAGCTTCCGCGAGCCTCAATAGCCAGTATTCCAGCCTCAATAGCCAATTGCCAATGCACTCGTATATGCAGAAGCCGTACTGGTGGTAACGGAATGTGTGCGAATTCGTGAGAATTGAAGGGAAGTAGTGCTTTTGAGGTCGTTAGATGGCCTTGGTGAACATTAAAGTGTGAATTAGGGGGGTTTTATTCGTCGGAAGATCAAGTCATTGCTGATTAAGGCGAAAACGAGACTGAATGATTAATAATAATCTGCGTATGAAAGTTGGGGATCAGTTCGATTGTGTGCTCGCGTTACATAGGAACATGCGGATAAAATAATAGGAGCAGAGGTTACAATGATCATCGGTAAGCTTAGTGAGGAGATAAATGATTATTGCGTGGTCGATTAGTAAAATTCGACGCTCTGGAAAGGCTGAGATTAAAATCAGAGAAAAGTGCAAAATAAGATTGTCGATGCGATATTTATTTACAACACACGAATGTAGGAATGAAGAAAACAAAAAAACAAAAAAAAAACCAAAAAAAAAAAACATAAAACAAAAAAGGAAAACTGGGCTTTTCTTCTTAATCAATCGTTTGGATTTCTTGAACGCGATATACATCGTTGCGGAGATAATATGACGATAATAATCAGATTAGCAGATAGCACAGCTACAACAAGAAATATATGAATTATGAGTTTAAAGAAATATATGAGTTTAAAGAAAGAAAGTTATTGCAATCGACGTAGCTGGACTATAAATTCAAACTGCACATTTACATTTACGTGACAAAATTCTTCGACTACGGACTTTTGATCCATTTAATGGTGGCACTTTTCAGTTCGCATCTGAAAAGACGAAGGCAAAGGGAAAGTAATTATCAAATTCCGCAAAGTCATATTTATCAATATTTTAACAATAATACTGGCGAATTATGCTTTGGGAAGATTACTTTTAGTTAACTTTTAGAGGCCAAGCCAAAGAATATTTCATACAAATTTTCGGCCTCGGTTAATCATGCAATAATAATTTGCACAAATGTTAAAAACGTTTTGCTCATATTGCGTAAAGCAAATTTGTTACGCGTAAATGGAAAAATGTCTCATTGATTGATCAATGATCCAAAGTAGTAAAAATATTTTATTAACTTTGATGTAATTTTATTTTGATTTATAATCTATATAATAGCACAATAATTAACGCATACCAGTGAAATCAAGCAATTTTTATTTAATATACTTAAGTGATTCTTACATCTCTAGGATATTTTAATTTATAATTAAGTAACAACCAATGGTTCAACAATATAATTTCTTAAAAAATCATTCCAGTGAAAAGATGTGGACACACTTATTCTTACATTGATTATTATTATGTTCATTCGTATTAATGGTCGATAATTACTTTTTAATGTAAAATGAGATATTTTTCTAAGATTGTGTTAAAAGCGAAAGAATATGGGTAATGAATAAAGTGAAGTTATGATCGATCATCGATCACGATCTCGGCAATGCAATTCACCCAAATTATTGCCCGAGAAGCAGCAGCAGCAGCAATATTAGAAAGAAAATTATTAAACAAATGCAAATTCTCCTCGCTAATACATTTTAAACGGTAAATTTTTCTTGTTTTCAGTGTCACTAATGCACTTCATTATTAAACGACCATTATTTAAAGTTTTTTTTTTTAATTCATATCATGATTTGAATAATATTAGATTAGTATTCGATGAAGATTCTAATGTAAAATTGTTATCTATTGTTTCTCACCGAACAAGATGCTGCCTAAAATATAAAATTATTCATGGATTAAAAAGGACTTTAGCGTTGATTTTCACCGATTACACAAAGCATTATTTTAATCGTAGTAATAAAAGGTGAAAATTTTATTTCCATTGCTTAAAGTCTATAATAGTTAGCTTTCAACTGTTAATTCTAAGTAATCTTGAACAAATATTTCTGGCAAACACTATATAAATAAAAAAAAAAAAAAATAAATAATTTTCATTGTATTTAAATAATAATAGTGCTATAATGATTGTTGATTAGATCTGTTGATTAGATGAATTTTGCATGCAAATTAAGCTTCATTGATGATTATTAAAAGTACACCAAAGAGAGACTAATGTGGATAATATCGAATTCGAGAAAACCGAAACATCTGTAAATATATTAGCTAATTAATGCAAAAGATGAAACTTTAATGGAATTAAAATAAAATGTTGACTTAATTGTTGCAAATTTTGTATACTTCAATAGGATTGAGGACAAGGAAATGAAAAAGAAGGCGAGAAACATTTTCTAAAATGAGACACATTCAGCCTGCCAGTTAATAACAAATATCTTAAAGTCCCGTTGTGTATCTGTCGCGAATAATATTTCGACAAGACATTATATCTTATATTAGATAAATTATTAAGGATTTTCATGCGTTGCGAAATGCGATTTAGTAAATTAAAGGAAAGTTAATCACACTGATCAAGTAGCGATATTTATTCTAGTGACTTGTATATAATGTACATTGTGTATTATAACAATATAGTAAACTAATATATCAAATGCGTATTTAATAAATAAGAATCGACGATAATAATATGAAAGCAGTATTTTATTTATTTTTTTTTTTTGTACATCCGCAAACCCGTAAAATCATTGCTTCTCTCGTATCTTTCCACTGACGTTCAATGCCCTTCAATACAAATAATGTAATACTATATCGTCCGCCTCTCTTCGATTCATTCGAGTCATCTTTAACAAATAATTCCTTTATCCTCCTCCACGATTCCATCTATTCACCACGTCAACATTCTAATTTCTAGCTTTATAATAATATTGAGAATTGCAATGCATTATTCATCGACTCGTTGAAAGTAATTTTGACATTTATGATGAATTATCAATAAAATGACCATATTGTCGATCAGAGTTTACCTTCGTTAACTAATTGCCAATACAATTGTTTTAATATATTTGCTAATATATCCGCGTAAGCAAGTATATATTAAGTAAATAATAATGCAATTGTAGCCACGAGCAACAAACAAATATAATCCAAAGCTCCGTTATTAGCAATGACGTCGTAAATCATCAGCGAGTAGACTTGGTGAAAAATTTGATCGACCCATAGGGAGCAATAAAAGCCCCGGATGAGACGCTCCCTGGAACTCGCTGGCAGCGCAAAGTGTATACACGCAGTAGTCAGACGAGGGTGAAATTTTTCCATCCGACGGCTTCTCATCTCGTCCGCACTGGGCTGCTGTCTCGCTTCGATTCTTACGCAAGTACGTGCACGCTTGTCCAGGTCCCTTTCATCGGCGCCGGATGAGCGCACAGTTTGAGCGACGGGTTTCCGGCTTCCGCTTCCGAATCGGCCATCTTGTTACCGGTTTAGATTTCCTGCCGGGACGCACTCGATGCGATGCCTGAAGGATCGCGAGGACGGGGTGTCACGCCGGGATGAGAATGAAAAGAGTGCAGCCAAAGGAATGGGAGACAAGGAGTTCGGTACGCGGCCCTAAAATATAATTAAATAGTTTATCGCTAAAGTAATAGCGATGTCTGGCTAATTGTTCGTCATGCTACTTGGAAGGATTTTACCTGCGTAGCTGCGAGGAAGTATCACCTACGATCGAAAAGACGTTCGCCGTCACACAACGATCCCTTGCTTTAACACAATTTATTTAATCAACTCGATATTATATCACTTTTACCATTTCTTACAATATCATCATAACTCTATATTATTTCTATTGATCGGGAGTGTTTTGCTTTATTAACTTTATTAAATTCAGTTCTTTGCAGCATCTTTAATATTAAGGAAACTAATCGCTGATTAATTCTAATACTCTGCTTTCATTAGATATTCAATGTTTTTAATCCATATTCATCATAATCTTTTTATTATTAAAACATAATATTACAATTGCGCTTTATAGTAATTGCAACACACATCGAATACAGTAAGATGTTTTATAGTTTTTATTTGAAAGATTAAATTCTATAGCTCGTTAAGCTTATTATTATTATTATTATAATTCGCGACAACTTTCATCATTCTCGACAAAATTTAACTCCATTCTTAGATTTCCATAGCAAATATAATAAAACGGTCGTGATGTATAAAAATGAATTTTTTCTATCTACTATTATTAATCTTCGAGCAAAATTATCATCTCATACAATTTCAATTAAATCACCTTTAAATTACGTTTTATTTACAATAGCATATTGATATACAATAATTTCTTAAAATCATGCAATTACTTTGCAACGATTCGTTAGATTAGAAGATAACAAATACGCTCCGGTAAGCAACGCTTTTATTAAGCGTAAACCATTTGAACCAAAATAATCAACCTTGTAAGTGTGGGTATCGCGCTATTCCATCTTCGATAAAATTAGCATAAAACTTCACAAGGGATATCGGCGGTTATCGGGAGTCTTATTAGACGAGAAGGCGACTGAATCTAAACCCCCCC